ACTATAAACTGATCCCGTTTGATACATAAATTGGTCCGATTTGATATGATAATGATTTGGACTATTCTGATATATATAAATATTTTTATGATTTGATCTAATTTAAATAATTTTGTGTGAGAGAAATAAATTGAAGTAAAGAGTCTGATCCCTATCATAATAATACTCTTATACCCCGGTATCAATTATGTGAATATATAGAAAAAATTAGAGCCGTCAAAACGGGCCGAAACCCGCGGGTTGGCCCGTTTCAACCCACTTATAGGTGGGTTAGGGCTATCATTTTCAGGCCCGATTATTTTGCGGGCTCAGTGGGTCAACCCTAACGGGTTGCGGGTTTAGCGGGCCAACCCGTACGGGTTGCGGGCCAACCCGCGGGCTGAGGACAAATATCATTTATTCTATGTATTTTTAATTCTATTATGAGAAAATAACTTTAAATAATACCAACTATCTTCGATGAACCAATAATAATACGTACTTTAGAAATAACTTTTAATAATACCAACTATCTGGATGTGAACCAAAAATAAAATAGACACTTTTCTACAAGAAATTCAATTATTTAAGACATCAAAAACTAAGATCAAATCATCAAATAATTGATATTTGAAAATATGATCACTTATTTGATATTTTGATATTAGTTTTTGATGAATAGAATAAATGAATTTTTGGTGAAAATTTGCTATATATCACTTTTGATGGATAATCAAATAGTTGGTATTATTAAAAATTTATTTCTCAAGTTTGTATTATTCTTGGTTCATGGAAGATAATTGGTATTATTTAAAGTTATTTTCCCTTCTATTATTTCTATATAGGACAAATTGTATCTTCTATTATACTCTCTTTACTTCTAGTTCTTTCCTCACTTTTAATACTAATGTATTTTGTTCATGATATCCAAATCAGACTAAATAATTTATTTTTAATGTATTCGTTGCTATACTGTTTTATAACATAAGGACTTCTAGCGACCAAAAAAAAAAACATAAGGACTTCTATGCTGTTTTATTCATGATATCCAAAACAGACTAAATAAATGAGAAATTAGGTATTTGCGGTATTTCAACTTAAGTATACCCACGATAATACAGTAAAGCTTTTAAGTATTTAATCATTTAACTTTTTAAGTATACCAGTTACCCACGATGATACATGCAAACATACAACCAAAGGATTTTCAAGCACTAATTTTTTCCTTTTTAATTGTGTTTGGATTTTAATTTAGATACTTAATTGCTATTTCAATTGTGTTTGGATTTTAATTTAGATATTTAATTGTTTTTTTGTTTTGACATTTATGGCCCGCGGGCTGGCCCGCATAACCCGTGGGTTAGGTGGGTCGGGTTAGGGTCATAAAAATTCTGGCCCGATAGTAAGCGGGTTGGCCCGCCCCGACCCGTGAAACTCATAACCCGCCGCGGGTCGGGGCGGGTTGGCCCGTTTACAGCTCTAGAAAAAATTACTATCGTATATAGATTCACTTTTCAACAAGAATTCCAATCATTTAATTAAGACATAAAAATGGGCGATTTATTTGATGTCAAATCATCAAATAAATGATATTTGGAATTATGTTCACTTATTTATTTGATATTTTGAAATTAGTTTTTGATGTCTTAATACTACAAGAAAACGGGCGATTTAATTCGTTTTTGTAACCACTTTCCTTTAGCAGATAGACATTTTTCTTGTAGTGTAATTGATCAAATTTTTAGTGAAAGTTTTTTCTGTATCACTTTTATTATATATATTCAATTCAAATAGTTAAAAAGTTATTTCCAAAAACGTATTTTTATTGAAATATTTCGTATTATTTATGGAAGATAGTTTGGTATTTAAGGTTATTATTGCTTCGTAAAACCATATCAGATTTTGTTTGGGAAGAGATCCATATTTTACATCTACATTAAATGATAATGGATTTCTTCTTTTTCCTTTCATTCAATTTACAAGTGGCGAATTGATTGAAATTAATGGAGGAGGCCGGAAATGATAAATTTGACTAATTAGAATCTAGTTGATAGATAATATATGCGAATATGGGATCAGAATCTCTTGATGATCAGTACATGTATAAGTTCATATGTTTTCTTTTGGACTGTTTTCAGTCCCAGACCAGATCAGAGTATCAGACTAGACCAGATCAGACTTCCGTAATTATAAAATACACACAGACCAGACATTTATCAGACCAGACCAGTTCAGACCAGACCAGATCAAACCAGAACAGCAAATTTCAGTCCAAAAGAAAACATCCTTACACTGTATTAGTATTTAATATGCTTATCATAATGTTCGGGTTAGTGTTAAAATGCATGCAAGTATCATTAAGTTGTTGTTTCACCTAAAACGTAAATATGTATTTAATCTAATAGTTTTAGAGTGGAGTATTTTGACTATTTCGAGTGATATTGGATTTTGCATTTCACCCTATTTCTCTTAACAACCTTTGATTTTAATTTGCATCGCATTCGTTCAAAAAAAAATTCTTCACAAAATGTTACATGAGAGAGTGCAAAGTCTTAGTTTTAAAAAATGGAGTGTAAAGTCCAATGCCACCCAAAGTTCAATATCTTTGAGAATTGAAGGCAGAAGAATGCTAAAACATAAATGTCTAAATTCTTCTTTGAATGGTATTCGGGATGAGAAAAAACTGCAAATACCATTTAAAATTATATTTGGCCCTAATTATTTCCGACATCGGGAACAAAATTTCAGGCGGGATGTTGCAGACCGCCTCCGGTGTGCGACATGGAACTGGTCAACGTCACATATTGGAGGCGGCCCTTGAAAAAGAAAGAGGATGAGAACTGGGGAGAGTACAATAACAAGGATTGCAATTTGTGGGACAACAAAGAAAACATTTTGTGCTACAACTGCAATACTTGTAAAGAAGGGTTCGTGAAGAGCTTGGAGGGGAAATGGCGGCGGCTTGGAGCTTTCCTTATTGCCATCTCTTTGTTACTCATCGTCTCCCATCTCTTGCTCTTTGTAGCTACCATGTGGGAACGCTATGGAGCATAGCTAAATAAGTAATTGAAGGTTTTATTTTATTCTGCAATTCGTTTAGTTTTTGTCTTCCTTCTGCAGCGTGTGCATGGAGCATTATATTATTGTTGTTAGATTAACTAGAAAATAGAAATAGCTACTGTACTAGCTAGCTAGCGTTGGACGTTTACAATTATTTTCTTCCTTTTCTTTTATTGGTTTTAATAAATTAGGGATACTATAATTATATATTGTGTCATTTAATTTGTTAGATCTTTTTTTCAGTACCGCTTATCTACTCTAATTATCTGGATTTTAATTTATACGGAGCAGCAAACACCGAGTACGTTTATAGGTTTGATATTTACTGATGTGGCATGCATGCTCTTGCTGCTCTAGTATGGTATATGTATATTTTAATATTTTATACTCCCTTCGTCTCGATCTTAAAAAATCACCAAATTTGACTAATATGAAAAATAATAATAAAATAAAAATTGTGTGATTAATTAAACTTTGTTCAAAAGCAAAAATAAATAGTAAGAATCAGAAATTAATTGATTACAAGGCCGGGGAAGTGGTTCAGGATTTGTGACAATTAAAAGAGAAAAAATAGTAAAGTAATAAGGAACAAAAGGAGTATTTATTTTGCTAGTCTAATACGTAGTATATAAGTTTGGTTTAATGACAATTTAATCTTGGCTTATATATTTCATACCGCAGATCGAACTAGAAATGACTATTTAACTAAACTTAAATAGACCAAACTATAAAAAACTGCAGATCGAACTAGAAATGACTCTACTTAATTATACGTAGTATTAAATACCGCACCTTACATTAGAGCAGACTAGATGGAGTAATTTTAGACTAAACGAATTTAAACAAGATTGACCATTAAATATCTTCAAACTTCATAATTCATATCATTGTCATACATACATATATAATTTCGTTTTAAAAAATATAATTACTCAAATTTAAACTCAGTAATCATTAAAGTCAAAGATGAAGAAATTGAATTTTGTGAGATAGAGAGATAATACATTTTTTATATTTTTATCAATAAATAGGGACATTTACAATCTTGACCTCGGTCGGTAGCTTTTAGCTGTATTTGTTATAGAAATTGCCATGAAGAAAAGTAAAAACGTTTTTGAAATTTTAAAATAGGACCTTCATGTTTTTATTCCCTAAATAGGAGTAATTTCTGTTAAATTCAGAAAAAACTTGATAGAAAATGCCTATGTAAAACCTCATAATGCCAAACATGAAAGAAATTACCCCTATTCAGGGAATAAAATAGGGGTAATTTGAGTTTGCACCATATTTTATTGTCCAAATTGAACTTTACGCCCCATTTTTAAAAATCGTTGTTTTTGCACCCCAACCCCGTATGAAAAGACAAAAATGTCCCTCCATAAAAAAAATTGTTGGCCTTCAACGTGTTCCTGATCGAGGGGCATTTTTGTCTTTTCATAAGGGGTTGGGGGTGCAAAAACAAAGATATTTAAAAACGGGGTGCAAAGCCCAATTTCGACAATAAAATGGGGTGCAAACTCAAATTACCACAATAAAAAATGGTGGTTCTATTTTGGAATTTCAAAACTTCTTTACTCTTTTTTATGAAATTTTCCCTACGCGTTATCGATCTTGTAACTTCACTCGATTACGTATATATTTGATCTTACAACTATTTTTTTTTACAATCTTATGACTTTTCCATGGAAAAGTAAACTGTTTTCATATTCTTAAATTTCACATTGAAGAAAAAATTTATCATAAGACTTTCGTATAAATTAAACTTGCTGCCATACACTTCGTAAAATAGATTCTAGCGCATTAGGTTTATCACGAAGTCCAGATAACTTCAACGTACGTGCGTCAACGAATAAGACCTACCCCATGTCTAGGCCCGTTTTTATGGCTGCGGTGAAAAAGCCCTAACGTCCACCTATATATAATTACATACAGAGGCTTCTTATAAATTTTATGAAGGTGAAGCTTAATTGACTCTCTGATCTTCTCGAAATCTTCCTCCCACGACCTTTAATTTCAAAGTATTAATCATGCGTGAAGATACAGGAGAAGAAAACCAAAACCCTAGAAGGGTTAGGGTTTTTATCAGCAAGAAATGCGATGTGCTGTTATTGATCATTCTAAGTTTCCTTGTGTCCCTGCCTTTTACCTACATCTTCGCAGACTTAATATACTCCCAACCAAACTGCGAGCATCTTCTTCACCCCCCAAAGCTCCAATATTGCGTCTTCATCGGCCTTGCCTTCGTCTTCTCCTTCGGCAACCTCTTCGCTTACGGCTACTTGCCCCGCTACCCCATCGTCCCCGCGTTTCTCCTCATCAACGTACCTATGATCCTCCTGGTCCTTTTTGGGTTCGCCCTTGCCGGTGTTTTCCCGGTGATGGCCCATAACCTCCCTGGTTCGCCGTCGTGGCTCAAATCCAAGTTTCACGACGGTGATGTCTGGCCGGCCATCGGGACTTGCCTCTATGAGGTCAGAACTTGCGAGGATTTCATCATCCGATCAGGCACTCTCAAATCCTTTCACTCATCGCCTACTGATAATGATCAGCTATCATCAACTGAGGTATATTTATACTTGTCAATCATGTTAAAGTTTAACGAATTATATTTATATTTTTTAATATTTTTGGGAAATTATTTATAATATAATTATGATATCGAAACATTCTTTATTAGAAATACTTTGATAAAGTATTAAATATTTAGTATATAATTTCAATAGTTAATACGCAGTATTATTCTAATTAAAATCATTGTCCAACTTTACCATAAAAAGTGATCGATAGCGTGTTAAGGGACACATGTAGTTAATATTTAGAAAGTTCCCGAACTAAAACAAAAAAACATTTTCGAATTCCTAAGTATATAGAAATTCCTAAATAGGAGTAGATAAAGCTAAGTTTGGAAATAGTGATATTTTCTAAAATTTGCTAGTAGTTACTCTAATTTTGAGAAAAATATATACTTCCAACGTCCGATCCCAAATTGATTTGTAGGATGTTTTAATTTAGATTTGTAGGACTTATTCTAGTCTCACGCCAAAAAATAACATTTCAATTAAAAGCATCCTCAAAGTCAACTTTTTTGCTCAAACAATTTTATTTTATTCACTTAATTAGGATATCAATTTTAAATTATATTTTAATTTGGATTTTTCAATTTTGTATATATAGATTTTAATGGAATTTATAAATTTGTAGATTTTAAATTTTATATAGATTGTTTGGGAAATTATTTGTAATATAATTATGATATTGAAACGTTCTTTATTAGAAATACTTTGATAAAGTATTAAATATGTAGTATATAATTTCAATAGTTAATACGCAGTATTATTCTAATTAAAATCATTGTCCAACTTTACCATAAAAAGTGATCGATAGCGTATTAAGGGACACATTATATAGATTTTATATATCTAATTATAAATTTGTAAATTTTAATTTTTAAAATTGAATAAATCATCAATAGGGAGAAATTAGCTTTAACGTGTTCAACTAATTAAAAACTTTCCAAATATCTGAAACTTAACATTTCCTCGGCATGTTTTCAATGTACGTTGTCGAACAAATTTTCACTGTAAGTGAAATGGATGAAAAATTGTGATTACCATTTCAAATGATATTTTGGCTTGATATTTTCGGAATACAATTATTTCAGGTGGGTTGTTGCCGACCGCCTCGAGTTTGCGGGATGGAATTGGTGAATGCCACCTACCGGAGGCGGCCGGCGAATCACACAAATGATGAAACATCCGGTGGGCACAATAATAGGGACTGTGATTTGTGGGATGAGAAACAAAGCGTTTTGTGCTACAATTGCGAGACGTGTAAAGATGGGTACATGAAGTATTTACAGGAGTGTAAATGGCTGCCGATTGGACCTCCCCTTGGTATGGTCGCTCTCGCATGCATCTCCATGTTCCAACTCTTCCTCTTTGGACCTACCATACGAGGAGGATTTGGGAGCCATATGGAGCACACCTAAACCATTAAAGAATGTGTGAATTTTCGAAATAGTAGTAAACTCATTTTGTAATTCTAAAATATGAGCAATATGATTTATTCTCTGAATAAGGTACTTATGTAGAATAAGGTACTTCTGTAGAATAGGAACATTTGCTGTTCCAAGTCTTAGCCGCTCGTTGTTGCTCGTCGCTGCTGTTGTTCATCGGCGCTCGCCACTGCTCATGGCTCCTTTGCCACTGCTTTTGTTCATCGATCGCCATCTACAAGCCCTTGTTTCAACTTGCAACTTGCGCATAAGTTTAGAAGGGCGGATGGTGTTTGAACGGCAAAAATTAATTAGAGGGGTAGAAGTAGTATAAAGGTCCTATTTAGGGAATAAAATTCCACATACTCCTATTTTGGAATTTATGCAACATTTTAGTTCACCTTTTTTTTTACCTCGGCAATAGTTTGACCTGTATTATAATTGGCAATTCACAACGGCTTGTATATTTTTAAATTGAGATATTACTCGAAATAGGACTAAAAAGTTTGAAAATTCCAAAATAGGACTTTCATGTTTTTATTTCCAAAATAGGATTAATTACTGTCATGTTTTGGCAATACCAGACTTCAAACATGACAGTATTTTCCAAACTTGACAGTATTTACTCTTATTTTGGAAATAAAAAACATGTCAGTCCTATTTTGGAATTATCAAACTGTTTTAGTTCTAGAAGAGAAAAATTGAGTATCAGATTTTGGTATAAATTTGTTGCCATAATAGATGCTAGCTTATTAATTAGGTTTAATTATCACGAAGTCCAGGTAATTAGACCTCACAGAGTCATAGCTATAAATTAAGGAGTATTATCTAGGCCCGTTTAGTGTCTGCGGTGAAAAAACCCTAACTATACCAGTACTTGTATAAAGGTGAAGCTATGACTCTTCTCCATTTCTTCTTCCTCCCAAGCCACAACCTTTAATTACGTACAAAGGATTTGAAGCTCTTGCAGCAGGTAATAAATTATGGATACAGGAGAAGAAAACCAAAACCCTAGAAGGGTTAGGAATTTCATGAGCAAGACATGCGAGGTGCTGTATTTGACCCTTGTAACCTTCGTTATGTCCTTGCCTTTTGTCTTCATCTTCACATATTATATATACTCCCAACAAGACTGCGAGCATCTACTCCCCCACATCCCAAACCTCCAATATATCCTCTTCATCGCTCTCGCCTTCGTCTTTTCCTTGGGCAACGTGTGGGCTTTCGGCTATTCATCCCGCTATCCCATCGTCCTCGCGGCTTTCCTCTTCCCCGTCCTCGCGGCTATCCTCTTCCCCGTACCTATGCTATTCATCCCGCTATCCCATCATCCTCGCGGCTAATTACCACCACCAATATGCTCTTTTGCGTCCATTTTCTGTCGACACAAAAGACGGTTTTTCTTGTATTGTAACCATGAATATGCACCCAGAATTATGCCACATTTAGGAGAACAGACATGAGTAATTTCCCTTCCTCCAGTTTCCTCAAATAGTGATCAAACATCCAACGTCCCTCCTCGAGAACTCTAATCATATCATTTTGTAGATTTCACCAAAAGAATTTCATCTCCCCCTCTATCTCCAACCGACCATAAGCTTGTAACAATTGATCCTTTTTGTTTATTAGTTAATTTTTAATAGTATTCTTGTTCTTACCGGAACCTGGAATCTACATTTTAGGCTTAGGCCTCATAATTGAAAAGAAAAACCTTAATTAGTCTATATATGAAAAAAGAGAACTTTCAAATTTGAAAAAGTGAAACTAATGCGTCTCTTTTTTGACAAAGGACATTTAGCTATCTTTGTCTTTTCCAGTCAAAGATTATAAACTTTGATCAATTATTTTAGTTAATATACTTATGTTAAATTTAAAAATCTTATACTTTTATGGTAGTCTTTTTGACAAAACATTTTCACATCATTTTCATATTATGAATACTTATGTGTATAAATATATAATCAGTCAAATTTAGACACCATTTACTTGAAAAGACAAAATTTGGCTAAATAAAAAAGTATGGATGGAGTGTTATTTCCACTTTCATCCTATTTATGAAAAAAAACCAAAAAGCACAATATTATCAAGTGGTGGAGGGAAATACCCAAACTTCAACATACCGCATCATATTGAAAAATACCATTTTTTAAGAATAGCTAGGTATTTTTTTTTTTTTTTTGAACCCAGAGTTGACCAACCAAAAGAGGTTGGCGTAGGAGCTGGGGAACATCCTACCTGTTTATTGAAATGGAGTGAAAGTACAAGGTAGGAGGACATAGAGCCAATGCCTACCCCAAAGATTAGTAAAGATAAGGGTAACTAATGGCATCAAATTTAAGAATCCCTACAAATTGATTAAAAAGCACGGGGTTTAATTTAAGGGAGACATTCTTATACGCAACAAATTCTGCCGCTCTATTACATTTGGAATTGATGGTGTCCATTCTCCAACAAAAATTTTTCAAATTGCGCCTGATTTGTTTTACATGAGCCCAATATCTCCAATGGTGAGTGATGATCCCTTGGATTGCCTGTTGTACCTGCAAATTTTCAGTCTCTATCACAATGTTAGTTGTGGTAGAGATCGGAGATAAGGTAAAGATATTAGTCAAAGCATTGTAGAGGGCTTCAGTATAATCATCAGTCCTCATGATGCAGGTGGAGTGTGCAATATAGACCCCTTTTGCATTACGAATCAAAATGCCGGTACGAAGGATGGAGCCAGAGAGAGGTCTAGTGGCAAGGTTGATCTTGATAAAGGAGGCAGGAGGCTTGAGCCACTGTCCTTTAATGGGGGGTTTATTGGTACGAGGAACAGTACATATATTAATAGCAGGGAGGTGATTATTAAGGCGGCTGAAAGGTTTGGCAACCGAAAGCTGGAATAGTTCATTAGTTATAGCAGCAACAGCCTCAGCATATGAGGTGGTGTTATCATCATACAGAAGGTTGTTACGAATCTTCTGATACGTTTGTAATTTCCGTGTATTTATTTACGTTTTTAGTTAGTTTTGGTTGTTTAATATTTCGGAAATTACACACTTTCGGTGTAATAGTTTAGTTTGTTAAATTCTTGTAATTTGTTTAGATTAGGTTTATTCTGAGCTTAAACAGGTCTAAGATCAATCAAATGATCAAAGGTGAAGGAAGGTGCAAGAGTAGAAGACAAAAAGAAGGAAAAATTCCTGATTTTAGGGTATACTCGATCGAGTATACCTTATACTCGATCGTGTACCAATACTGATTTTCAAGGATCCGATCCGGGAACAAATGAACATGCAAGGAAAGATTTGGCCACGTTCTATTGTCATACCCGATCGAGTACACCGACATACTCGATCGGGTATACATATAAAATCTACTCGAGTATTGATCGAGTATTGACCAAATTCGGGTTTCTACACATACTCGATCGAGTATATGTACATACTCGATCGAGTACTCGGCCTGCACCTCAAAAAGCCTATAAATACACCTCCTTTCCTCCACTTTTAGACACCAATTTCTTTATACTCTTAAGCTCAGTTTAGAATAGAATTTATCTATATTTCTTTTAGCATGTTTAGTCTCCAAATGAGGAGCTAAACTTCCATTTCTTGGTATTGCTCTTGAAGCTTGTTGATTATTAAAGTTGTGAGTTATTTTCTTAACTTCTTTTCCTTGAATATTAATTCTTCCTTTAAATACTATTTCTATATCAATGTTGGGGAGTGTTACTAAGATGACAATTAGTTAACATCTTGACATTGGTTTTAGTAATAGCTATTCCTTCCTCTATGTTAATATCGGGGAGTGTTACTAAGATGACAATTAGTTAACATCTTGATATTTAACTATAGTAGGATTCATTCCCTTTAATATTCTTCCTTGAGTATTAATTAATTCCTATGCATATTTCATATTAATATTTTGAACATTACTTAAAGGATCAACTAGTTTTGTTTCATATATTAATTACTACTAGAAATGATCAACGAACCGATGGTTAATCGTTGATAGTTTCACAAGTAAGTAACTTCGGTTTATTAATGCACGGTCGTGGTTAATAGACTTAAGAGGGATTAATTTTGTTGGTTAAACCGAAACCGTTGTGTTAAGGTTATCAATCTCAATTGATTTCATCAAGGAGTTAAAAGATTAAATGCTACTATCAAGTCGGTATATGGCGTTGTTCTATACTTGACTAATAGTAAGGGTTATTAATGAACGGTCGTTGTTAATAACTATCCTCGATGAATTGGATATACTCCTCGATTGAGTATTCGAGAGGAGATAAGTTATAGATATAACAATGATCGACTAAAATATATCAACAAGTGGAAAGTAGCAATACCAAGTCAATTTTATCTTTGAATTAAATCTCATATAAATCGTTCATCTTCGTGTTTAAATTTAATTAAATCACTCAACAATCAAAACCCCCCTTTACTTACTATTTATATAAAAAGAAAGTTATTCCTTTCCCTGTGGATACGAACTCTACTTCACCTATACTACGTATAAGTGTTAGTGTTGAATTTATTTTGAGTGCACTCACGACAAAGTGCACGTCAAATTTGGCGCCGTTGCCGGGGAAAGGCAATTTATTTTTTTCTTTTTATTTCATTTTAAAGAAAAAAAAAATAGTTGAAGTATAGAGATTTCTGTTTCTTCTGAGCTTTGTTTGAGTATATGGTAAGAACCCGATCTATAAACGAAATCATCTACCAAACAACCCCCCAAACGGAACAAGCCTTCGAAAGGTTTAGGAATTTATTTCCGAATACTTCTTCGGAGGAATCATCAAGTGCTAGTTCTCAATCTAGCGAGACCGAAGAGCCAATCACTATGGCTCTTGAGACGAGAACATTGAGGGAGCTCACAGCTCCGAATCTTAATCAACAACCCCTATGTATCACTTTTCCAACTCTTGATACGGGGGTCACATTTGAGCTAAAATCTGGGCTCATTCATCTCCTTCCATCATTCCATGGTTTACGAGGGGAGGATCCGAACAAACACCTGTCGGAGTTCCACATTGTGTGCACAAGCATGTGCCCCAATGGTGTTTCCGAGGAGCAGATCAAACTGAGAGCCTTCCCATTCTCCTTGAAGGACACCGCAAAGGATTGGCTTTTCTATCTTCCTTCGGGAAGTATCACTACATGGCCACAAATGAAGAAGGCCTTTCTTGACAGGTACTACCCCGCTTCTATTTCATCATCACTCAAGAAGCAAATAAGTAACATCGAACAAAAAGATGATGAATCTCTATATGAATATTGGGAGAGATTCAAGAAGCTATGTGCAAGTTGCCCCTATCACGGATACACCGAACAGGACCTCATCCTCTATTTCTATGATGGTCTTGTGGATCAAGATCGCCGCATGGTGAATGCGGCGTGTGGAGGGGGCATTGTCAACAAAACCCCTTCCCAAGCGAGAGATCTCATCTCAGAGTTGGCCGAGAACTCCAGACACTATAACGGGCGGTCCTCAACTCGGAGAGTTA